AATATCTTGGGAACGGTAATATTCTAGATGTAACATACCTTGGTAAAACTGATTGAAAAATGAAATTTAATTTCTAAAATTTCTAATTCCCTTCAAAGATCACTTTATAAAGTTTTTCCTCCAACATTGTTATGATAAGAAGTGCACAATAGGCCAGCTAGTGGATTCATTCGGATCTGACATAATATACATACATTCACCTTTTAAACTCATCTAACCGTGTTTGAAAAGATGTTTGTGTCTAGAACAGCTTGCGAAAATAGGGTTTGGGTCAATTATAGACTAATACCACTTGATGTGTTCAGATAAGAAAGTTGACCTCTCCGCTCTTAAAAACAGAGTTATTACCTCTATTTCACTGTAATCATTCACAAAATTTCACTTTTAATTAATTTAGAAAAAAAATTAAATCCCACAAAAATAAAAGTTTAAAATCCCCTCTAAACAATTATTTGTTTAATTTGTAAGTATGTAGTAATTTGTTAATAAATCTACGAATAATGTTAACTATTTATTAGTGTATATAACTATGTTTAATAAAAAATATTTTTTTTTAAAAAATTTAATTATTATTTCTTTAATTTATCTTATACTAAACTATGTATTAAGTTCTCAAAAAGAAATCCTACCTTATTCCCTAAAACCAAGTCATTGTTGAATTAATAGTTAATTCTTTATTATTTTTTTTTTCTTTGATATGGAGATTTTTCTAATGAAATGTTTTCTTTTTTTTATATATATTTAATATAGAAAAAAAGTATGAAAAATATTTCATTTTATTTAAAAACTACATTGTACCCATAATTAGCCAAAGTATGTGCTTATAATCTGCTATACTTTCTTAAATACATACTTTTATAATTTAAATATTTTAATAATTTAAATATTTATGTATATTTTAACTTTTACTAGATTATTGTATAATAAAAAAAGCTCTGCAATAGCTGTTTTTTTTGTTTGTTTTCTTACTCTATTTTCGTTATTGTAATGAATAATTTAATTGTTTTGATTAAATAAATAAAAGCTATATATATTTGTTTAAATATTTTTTGTATTTAGGAAATCTAATAAATATTTTTTTGGTAATATTTTGAAAAATATCTAAATTAATTAGCACTACAATTCACTGTTGGTTGTTAATAAAATTTTACGTATACAAATTGTTGTTAAAAATATTTATTGTTATTTTGATTTTAATAAAATTATTATTTATATAGTTTTTAAAAACTGGTATACTATTGTAGGTATTAGTGTTATTGTTTTTTTTTTTAATTATTAATTTGGCGTTTTATCTTACAATGTGATTTAGTTTTTTTTTTTAAGTTAATTTTGTTTATGTATTATTTAGTTATTTATTTTTATTTTTTTTTATATTTTATAAGGACTTTTTGTTTATTAAAAAATCTCTACTTATATGTCAAACTTAAAGCCTGTATTTCTATAAATTTTAATTTTGATTTCTAGTATGTTTAAAACATTAAATCTACATTTCGGATTTAGTTGGGATAAAAGTCCATTTTTTTCTGATGTCCAAACTACTTAACAAATACTTAACATTACTCTCTTGCTTTTCTGTTATAAAAATAATAGTTTATTTCTTTTAAATATTTTCAACTGAATATGATAACTTTAAAGAAATAATACCTTAATTTTAACTATAATTTCATAAGCCCGTTTTTATGTGCATTTCCTCATTTCCACATGTTTTTCAAAGATGAACAAAAATACATAACTAAGGTAAAGTTAAAACGTTTGAAATTAAAGGATCAGAATGTCTTTTCAATAATATATGAAAATTTAATTTAGTATTATTTTGTAAATATATTGTTTTTTTTTCATTATTTCCTTTTAGCTAAAAAAGTTATTTAACTTGTTTTAAACTAAAGTAATAGACCTATTTTATGCAAAATTACAACAAAATTGAAAAAGCTTAATACTTTAACTACTTTTAAAATTAAATGAAATTTATTTGAAAATTTTTACTGAAACTTAAATTTCAAATTCAGTTTATAATATACTAGGACAGATTGACGGACGGATAGATGCACAGACATCTCTTGAGCAAATCTAAGTCATTGTTTCACTTTAAGGTGAGCGTTGTACGAATATTTCAAAGCGTTTTAAATATTAGCAAAATCGCACAATACCCACTCCTCTATAGTGTTGTAAATTACAAAAATACAACATACGGCGATACTACAACGTTTGTGAACTACACACGTTTTTTGTGTTGCACTATGGGCGTATGTATGTACTTTATAATATTTTTACAATTAGACCTCCATTTTTTAAATGATATAAACAAGAGGAAACTAAGTTATATACCACTAGAAGATTGACATGAACAGATAGACGGACGGACGCATGGACATCCATTAGGCAACACAAAGCCGATTGTTATACTTCAAGGTGAGCATAGCACGAATATAAACATTAGAACGCTTGTGAATTGAAGAATTTTTCATCATTTAATTTATATTCAAAATTCAATATTTGTTTAAGATTAACATGAGCGGACTGACGGACGGACTTACCTAAATCGACTATAAGCTGTTTTACACTCAATAATATAATCGCGTAATACCCTTTCTACTATAGCGTTGTAGATTATAACAAATAAGAGTGTTATATTCGGCTGTGCCGAATCTCATATACCCACCATTAAACCGTATGCCATAATAGCAATGCTCCCCTAACATCATGATCACTCATCATATTAACTGATTTTAACTCGTATAAAACTTACGTATGTCGAATTTCATCGTTTTACTCGTATTTTTAAGCCCGTAATGAACTTTAAAGTCATTTTCTGAAGGGAAGCTTATATACATAAGGATCAATTATATGCCGATTCCCATAAAAGTCAGTAGAGAGGTTTTGGCTCATAAGAAACTGTCGAATTTCATCTCTATACTCGTACTTTGAGGTTTAAAGTAATTTTCTGATGGGGACCTTATAGAGGGGTAGGGTCAATTATAGACGGATCCACATAAAATTTAGTTAAGAGATCTTGGTTCGCAAGGAACTTACGTTGGGTCAATTATGGACCGATCGACATAAAATGTGGTAGAAAGATTTTAGCTAGTAAGACAGTTACTTATGTCAAATTACATCGCTATACTCGTATTTTTAAGCGAGTAATGAGCTTTAATGTAATTTTCTTTAGGGGACCTTATATGGGGTTAGGGTCAATTATGGACCGATCCTCATGAAATTTGGCAGCAAGTTTTTGGCTCATATGAAACTTATTTAAGTTGAATTTCATCGCTATAGTTACACTTTTAAAACATATACCCGTTAGGGCGGTTTTTCGGTGTCCACTTGTATGGGGGCTATTCGAAAACGTGGACCGATATGGCCCATTTTCAATACCAAACAAACCTTAGAGATTATTTGTATAAAATTTCTCATTTCATAGTTCATTTCGGACGGACATGGCTAGATCGTCTTAGAATTTAATAATGACCCAGAATATGTACTTTTGTGAATCTATGACCAATATTTCGATGTGTTACAAACAAAATGACAAAATCAATATACTAATTTTTTAATTGTGGGTATAAAAATACAACGTAAGTTGATACTACAAAGCTTGTGAATTGGTCGATTCTTTTTACATTTAATTTATATTAAATAATTTAAAATTTTTGTACATTGTGAGTATTCCAGTCTTTTTCACAACAGGGACCTCTAAGCAGCCTTAAATCAATTATGGCATAGTGTTTCAAGTTAATATTTCAATGTTTACAGAAAGACGTAGAGACATCGCCTTATTAATTCAGAAAGGCATTCTAAATTGATCGATATGTGTAGCACTATGTTTCGAATGTTTTATAATTTATTCACAAAACAAGAAATTTGCTACAAGAGGGTTTATATGGAGGGTAAGAGTAAATATGGGACCGTCCTTATAAATTTTGGTAGAGGTATTTACATCAACATCAAAGTTATTTATGCAGAATATCATCGTGATATTAGTGTTTATAAATGAATTTTGGCCATCAAGTCATTTTTTGGAGGGGAGTTGGTATGGGGCTAGGATTAAATGAGACCCAATCGTTATCGGCAGTATTATTTTTGACTTTTATAAAACTAAGTTTTGCCGATTTTTGAAGTGATACAAGAACATTTAACATAATTATGACCTCAAAAGCCCTATTCAGGAGTTACGGTTGTATGGGGGTTAGGCGATATAATGTACCGATTTCAATATATATATATTTTAGGCTGTTACAAACATCAGCAGGTCTAATTAAATTCGCTGAAATATTAGCAGATTTAGGGGGATTTGTAATTCAAATTTAAAGGATTTCATTTGGTTTAAACCGTTTTACATAGATGTTTGTAATATTTATTGTGTTATACTATTCCCTGTTTGGAACAGAGGTTCTCAATGTATTTTGTGTCTCGGAATATGGTGTTAAACATAAAATTCTATAAACGAACTTAGGTTAATGGTAAAGGTATTCAAAAAACCACTAAAAGTTGAAAATTTTTTAGAATCTATGTAGGTTTTAGCAAAAAAAAAGTTTTTTGACTTTAGTTTTATTATATTTGGAAATAATACATAAAAACTTACTTTTCGAAACTAAAAAAAATTAATTTCTAAATTTTCCAAATATCGTTAAATACTAACTAAATCTTAACGATAACCTTTGCTTTAGTTAAAGCAAGTGTAGGGTATTTTTTATCTATCTTCCTTCAGGCTCAATAATTCTATTGTTTACTTCATATTTATTGTATAAATTAAATTAATTTACCATACACCAGAATATTTTATGTAATTTACATACAAACATATAAAAATAATCTATTCAAACCAATCAAAATTATGTGTAAAAGTATTAAATCAAACAATTTTGATTTATATTTTAATATATGCAATTATTTTACATTCTTTTTTTTAATATTTTAATATTTTATTATTTCTTTCTAAATAAATCAAAATTATTACAGATAAATATTTATTTGAATGTAGATTTTAATAAAATTATGCATACAATTTTTTTACTTTTTTTATTTTTTTTAAATGTAAAAAAAGATAAACATACATAAGCAACATAAACTTATTTATGATTTATTATTTAAAAAAAAGAGTTAATTAAAAATTTAAAGAAGGTAATATTGCATGGGGTTTTAATAAATATAAATTATTATTTTTTTAAATTAAGCCATTTGTAATTTAAAATCTAAAGTCTTTCTTTCTAAATTTGGCAAACAATTTGGTCGAAAATTTATTATTAATTATTTTAATTAATTTACTTTTCGTTTTAATTAGCGAACCATGTTGATTGTAGTTACTTTTGTTGATTGAAGATGTATTTAAAGATTTTTCATTTTGTGGGGGGAAAAAAGGGCCAACAACTTTTGGTACAATATTCTTAAAATGGTATGTTGCTTGTAGTTTTTGTTTTAGATTTGTTTTTGTTTGTGGTCATATAAACCTTACCTAGGCGGCGTGGGTGGTGGCGGCGGTGTGTATGGCGGTGGTCTTTCTTCTCTTTCTAAATTTCGTGGTTTTGGTGTGGTATGTAGATCGAGGGCATAATTGTTGAGTGGTGATTCGGGTGGTCCCATTTTCGTTGGTGGACCATGAAATATTGCATACGGATTGCTAAAGAAATTATGTGAAGTAGTCATCATGATGTTTTCTTAGCGCAATAATGTTGATAGTTTTAGCTGAAATTGAAAAAGTGTTAAATATAAATTATTTGTTAAATTAAAAAAGAGGTTAAACTATATTTTGATTAAACTTAACAAAATTCAAACTTAACAATTCCTGACTAAAATATATTTGATATATTTATTTTTTGGAAATCACAGGAAATGGAACACTGTTATGCTTCTAACAGTTTTAAAGATTTCTGGTATAAACTAGTTCATTGATATGGTCCCTTTTCACAATATTTCATATTAAAGTCTTTTAACACACAAATATTGCTGTTTTAATATACAATATTTTTATTTCTAAATATATTTCACTGCTACAATATATGGAATACTATATCAAAAATTGAAAAGAAAAAACTATTTCTCTAAACACAAATTCAAAAATGTTTCCCAAACGCTTTTGTTGTTCACATTTTTAATTGATTAATAAAATGGCACAATGTAAAAATGCAAATAAACCTAGCGAATTCACGTAGAAGCCAGTACATGTACAACTATATTTATAAGTTAATTTTTTTCATTTTACACCTATATTTTTCATATTTCTCACATTCATTTATATACATGCGATAAATTTATGATACAAATGCTATTCATACTAAATTTCATATAGAAAAATAAAGTTTATGCCAAAAATTGTCAAGTCTAGTGCGACTATATGGAATACATTATATATAAGAAAATATCTATATCAGATCACTTCATTATCCCGATCACAATAAATTCAGTCCATAGTCTTAGTCTAGTCTATAGTCTAGTCTATAGTCTAGTCTATAGTATAGTCTATAGTCTAGTCTATAGTCTAGTCTATAGTCTAGTCTATAGTCTAGTCTATAGTCTAGTCTATAGTCTAGTCTATAGTCTAGTCTATAGTCTATAGTATAGTCTATAGTCTAGTCTATAGTCTAGTCTATAGTCTAGTCTATAGTCTAGTCTATAGTCTAGTCTATAGTCTAGTCTATAGTCTAGTCTATAGTCTAGTATAGTCTAGTCTATAGTCTAGTCTATAGTCTAGTCTATAGTCTAGTCTATAGTCTAGTCTATAGTCTAGTCTATAGTCTAGTCTATAGTCTAGTCTATAGTCTAGTCTATAGTCTAGTCTATAGTCTAGTCTATAGTCTAGTCTATAGTCTAGTCTATAGTCTAGTCTATAGTCTAGTCTATAGTCTAGTCTATAGTCTAGTCTATAGTCTAGTCTATAGTCTAGTCTATAGTCTAGTCTATAGTCTAGTCTATAGTCTAGTCTATAGTCTAGTCTATAGTCTAGTCTATAGTCTAGTCTATAGTCTAGTCTATAGTCTAGTCTATAGTCTAGTCTATAGTCTAGTCTATAGTCTAGTCTATAGTCTAGTCTATAGTCTAGTCTATAGTCTAGTCTATAGTCTAGTCTATAGTCTAGTCTATAGTCTAGTCTATAGTCTAGTCTATAGTCTAGTCTATAGTCTAGTCTATAGTCTAGTCTATAGTCTAGTCTATAGTCTAGTCTATAGTCTAGTCTATAGTCTAGTCTATAGTCTAGTCTATAGTCTAGTCTATAGTCTAGTCTATAGTCTAGTCTATAGTCTAGTCTATAGTCTAGTCTATAGTCTAGTCTATAGTCTAGTCTATAGTCTAGTCTATAGTCTAGTCTATAGTCTAGTCTATAGTCTAGTCTAGTCTAGTCTATAGTCTAGTCTATAGTCTAGTCTATAGTCTAGTCTATAGTCTAGTCTATAGTCTAGTCCATAGTCTAGTCTATAGTCTAGTCAATAGTCTAGTCTATAGTCTGGTCTATAGTCTAGTGTATAGTCCAGCCTAGACTATAGTCTAGTCTATAGTCTAGCCTAGACTATAGTCTAGTCCATAGTCTAGTATATAGTCTAGTCAATAGTCTAGTCTATAGTCTGGTCTATAGTCTAGTCTATAGTCTAGCCTATAGTCTAGTCAATAGTCTAGTCTATAGTCTGGTCTATAGTCTGGTCTATAGTCTAGCCTATAGTCAAGACAATAGTCTAGTCTATAGTCTGGTCTATAATCTAGTCTATGGCCTGGTCAGTTTGTTAGTATGTATGGTTAAAACTAAATCGGATACAATAATTCTATAGTCTAGTCTATAGTTTAGACTATAGTCTAGTCTATAGTCTAGTCTATAGTCTAGTCTATAGTCTAGTCTATAGTCTAGTCTATAGTCTAGTCTATAGTCTAGTCTATAGTCTAGTCTATAGTCTAGTCTATAGTCTAGTCTATAGTCTAGTCTATAGTCTAGTCTATAGTCTAGTCTATAGTCTAGTCTATAGTCTAGTCTATAGTCTAGTCTATAGTCTAGTCTATAGTCTAGTCTATAGTCTAGTCTATAGTCTAGTCTATAGTCTAGTCTATAGTCTAGTCTATAGTCTAGCTAGTCTATGTCTAGTCTATAGTCCTAGTCTAGAGTCTAGTCTATAGTCTAGTCTATAGCCTAGTCTATAGTTAGTCTATAGTCTAGTCTATAGTCTAGTCTATGCTAGTCTATAGTCTAGTCTATAGTCTAAGTCTATAGTTCCTAGTCTATAGTCTGTCTAGTAGTCTATAGCTATAGTCTAGCTAGTCTATAGTCTAGTCTGATAGTCTATCTGATAAGTCTAGTCTATAGTCTAGTCTATAGTCGTAGGGGTCTATAGTCTAGTCTATAGGTCTAGTCTATGGTCTCGTACTATAGTCTAGTCTATAGTTATTCTATAGTCGAGTCATAGTCTGGTCTATAGTCTAGTCTATAGTCTAGTCAATAGTCTAGTCTATAGTCTGGTCTATAGTCTAGTCTATGGCCTGTTCAGTTTGTTAGTATGTATGGTTAAAATTAAATCGGATACAATAATTTTTGAAATTCAAACTTAAAGTATGTTGGAAAAAATTCTAGAGCTGGTTAAACAAATCTCCAAATCACTTCACAGAAAATATTTTTTTAAGAGCAGATGTTAATTTTTTTTTATAATTTTAAAATTTTGAAATATTTTCTGTGAACGTATTCATGCTAAACACAACGCTTGCGATATAGGGTACTATTAAAAAAAGGCATAAAAAACAACAAATACGTAAATTCTTTACCACAAACATAAAATATAGAAAAAACTAATTTGCATATTTAGTATTAAACAAAAAACTCTATATTTTGTGTATTCTGGATATCTACATGTGCAAAATACAGAAGTTTTCAGACAAATGTAGACAAACACTGACTACTGATTCCCTCTATATGCTATGCTCCATCCACCCACAAACTTCCTCAAATATTTTTCGACAAAAACTGAAAAGTGAAAAATTTATTACATTTTGATTTTAATCATTTTACCTACAAAAATGTATGAAAAGTAATAAAAGTAAAATGAGTGAAAAAAAAAACTATAGAGAGTAGTTTCGAGACACTGTTATATTCGGTGTTTAAATGAGGCTGGCAAATGGTCAGTCACAAGTGCAATTTTACCTTATGCATGTGTTATACAATCGAATAAGCTTTTCCATTTATGTTAGTAAATGTATGCATAAATGTGTGTTCAGTTAAATGAAAACTTATTTGCAATTTTAATATTAAACGCAAATGGTATTACTGGGTGTTAGTTTGATTTGATATGGTTTAATCAAATTTTCAAAAAGCAAGGAGAAAAAAAGAAAATAAATTTTATGAAATTTTTGCAACAGATTTAACCGAATGGCGGCCTAGATATAAACATTTTCTGAATGCCTATTTTTTTTTTAATAAATAATTTCATTATAATGTAGGATTTTCATCTATGTTTTAGAAAAATATGAAATGCGTTTTACCTTGCATTACAAGAAAGTTTTTTAAGGAGAAAAATATTATGTTTTTTGATGCAAAGTACTTGATAATCAATTTCATTCCCTTTGTTAAAAACAACAGTACGTATAAGCAACCATTGTTAGTAGTGTAATTTTATAACAATCATACGCCACAGACTTTATATAAATATTTTTATAATTTGGGTAAAAAAAACTAAACTATAATTATCATTACAATGTGGAAATATGTATCAAAATATTTATTTAATAAATTTGTAAAAAATTTTCAAATATTTTAAATTTTTGACTCAAATTAGACAAAAATTTTAAATGCAAATCCCCTTTAAAATAAATAGTTTTCTATGCATATATTTATTTATGTAATATATACATACATATGTATGAGTGTATATATTTTTATAAGCATATAGGTATTTATACATATAAAATGTATTTGTTATATAATTGGTATAAAAATATTCAATTTAGCCGTGAGGGAAAACGTTGTGATTGTATGTTTTAATAAAAATCTAAATTAAAATTGTATTGTAAATGTTATTGATGAATTGAAATAAAATAATAAGAACAAAAAAATACTAAAATGTTTAGGTTTTATTGGATAAAAACAGTGAACTAAAAAAAACATAATAATTCACACTCTAAACAGATTTTATTATTATACATGTAGTTTTGGGAAAGTTTAACTTAATCGCAAATAAGAAAAAATTCCAAAAAAGTATTAAGATTTAAGTGGCAAATATTAAAATAATTGTTCTTAAATTATGTCTGTTTGATTTATCATCTATGCTTTTTATGTTATCAAACCTATGATATCTTACTTTAGGGATAACTTCCCTTTTGAAAACTCCATACCCACAACGAAACATGTAACAAACCCTAAAACAATTTAGAATGAAAACGTCTGCCTGTTAGTAGTGTCTGTGTATAGTTAGTATGGTTATAAACAATATTGTTTTGTATTATTTCAAAATATTCATGTTCGTTGTTTTTTTTTGTTCATTTCTGCGGTCACAGATTTAATATTTATTGCACACTATTTTGATATACAAACCTACAATCTCATCAATTGTTTGGCCAGAAGGAAAATTCCATGAATAAAACCGACAAAAACAACACAACAGTATAATGCATTTTATAACAATAATTTTACAAAATTCCAATATTTACGATATCAATGACATTGACGTTGATGATGACGGTGCGATTGATGATGATGATGACTAGGATTGTGA